GATGCAAGACCTGGTCCTTGGAGACCATTTGTCAAGCCAGGTAAGATTTCATATTTAAAAAATTAGATGCTTTTGTGGAATTTGGTGGGTAAAAAATTAAATTGTAGGCCTAAATGACAGTTGTACTATGTCTTTTTTAAAAAAAATGTAGGTAGGTTTTTTTTTTTTTTCAAATACCTGTACAATGATTTTTAAATGAAAATTACTCTCATTTGTCCAGTCCACCCTGGGATTATACTCAGGATCTCATTATTTTAAAATTGCCTGTGTGCGGGTGTGTACACGTGAATGCAGGTGTCCGTGGAGGCAGAGTGAAGGCAATTAGAGCCTCCTGATATGGGTATATGGAATTGAACTGCAAGAACAGAATGTGCTGTTAATCACTGAGTGTTCTTTCCAGCCCCTTTCAGTCTGCCTTTTGAGGACCCTTAAATCTACCAACTTTTGTGTTCCCTCTGATTAAAATTGAGTATATGTCCTTTGAGCTCTTCTTGCCCTGCTAACTGGCTTCTGCCATTTTTCCCCACTCCCAGTTCCTTTTTGCAGTACCCAGAATGGTCCTTCCTTTGTTTAGATCTAAGTATCACCTTTTTTGCTTATACTGGTTGTGACTTCTGTGGCAAACCTTTTTATCTTTTCTAATCTTGGCCATATTCCATGTTGAATTATGTGACCTTAGATTTCCATGCTTTGTGTAAAATGAGATTGGCAGTATGGTAGGTTCTTAGTAAATTGTGATGTGTCCTATAAAGTTGCTGTGAATACTGAGAAATCCTAGAAGAAATACAAGCTTAGATGCCTTTCTGTTATTCTGCCATCCATCAACATATAATTTGCCTCTTGATGTGTTTCTGTTTAAATCCACTTTGCTCAAAGCAGTACTGATTTGAAATAGTGAATCCATGGCCAGCAGTTTTGGTAACCGATGATTGAACAAAGTTTGTCTTAACACATGCATTTCCCCTTAAATTTGAGATAGTACTTTAGCCTATTCTTGTGGTCATTTGCATAGTAGAGTAAAAAAAAATCACAGTACTAAATAAGCAGACCTTTATAAGGACATTTTTTCATAGTTAAAAAAGCTGATTCTGTGAGTCAGAGTGCTACAAACCTGAGCTGGTATTACATATGTCAGAAGACAACTTAATTTTCTTTCTGAACTGAGTAATTACAAAATTGCCACAAGTATTAATTTGAGATTATAAATATTTATTTGCAAGTGGGCTGGGTGTGATGGCACACACTTTTAATCTCAACCCTCTGGTGGCAGAGGCAGGAGGATCTCTGAAAATAAGGCCAGCATGGTCTCCATGGTAAGTTCTAGGACAGCCAGGGTTACATAGAGTGACCCTGTCTTTGGAACAGAAAATACAAGAATCTGACAATAGTTAGGATTGACTTAATTATGGCAAGGATTAATTAAGTTAATATAAGTGGGATTTAAGTCTGTAGCTTGTTACTTATTGATATGAAAGTAAGGTACAGTGGTAATGAGCTTTGTACCTATAATGCACCAGTGAGATGTTAGCAACACCAGGCAGAATCAAAGCATTTATCCTTGTTTTGTAACTGGATGGTGGGGTAAATGTCACAGGACAGGAATAGGAAAGAGTCACTGATAAAATATTACAGAGTATAAATTCATAATTGGGGTAGTTATTCCCAGGAAACTCTGAAGTTTTCTGCTTAACTGAGTACTCTGTAATACAATTAGAACAGATTTTTTTCTTTTCTTTTTTTTGATTTTTCGAGACAGGGTTTCTCTGTAGCTTTTAGGTTCCTGTCCTGAAATTAGCTCTTGTAGACCAGGCTGGCCTCGAGCTCCCAGAGATCTGCCTGCCTCTGCCTTCTGAGTGCTGGGATTAAAGGCGTGCGCCACCACCGCCCGGCTAGAACAGATTTTTATGCTGGCAATGTACACAACAAGAAATATTTGATAATCTGTTATTTTATGAAACATTACATTGAGACTGTTTAAACTCCCTATAGATACATAATTTAGAAAAGTTGCTAATGACCAGCCATATATATATATATATATACATATATATATATATATGGCACACACATGGATTTAGTTTTGTTTAATTTTCTTACTGGAATAAGAGTATCTTCAATTTGCTTAGGATGATGAATTAATGCTAAGATACCTTCATAAAGGCCAGGGATGAGCTCAGTTGATAGACAACTTGCTTAGCATGCATAAGGTCTTATTAAATACCCAGCACCACACAAACATACAATTGCTAATCTGTTAAAAATAAAATTGCTTCTTTTTATAAAATAGGTGGATGGAGAGAGAAAGAAAAGGCTAGAGAAGAGAGTTGGGGTCCACCACGGGAATCAAGACCATCAGAAGAACGTGAATGGGATAGAGACAAAGAGAGGGATAGAGACAGTCAAGATCGAGAGGAGAACGACAAGGACCCTGAGCGAGAAAGGGACAGAGAGAGAGATGGAGACCGGGAGGATCGCTTCAGAAGACCCAGGTTGGGATGACCCTGCTTGTAGTTCTCTTACACTTCGCTGTGCACTCCAAATCATTTTTGATAAGTAATGCCATTTAGATAAACAGGGTATCTAGAAAGTTAAAAAAAAAAAAAATGGGGTGGTGGGGGGGAGCTTAACTCTTATTGGCTGCCTGCAGGTTGTTTACCAGGTAAATGGGCCAGTCTGGGTGTCTACTACTCCTGTTTCTTAGAGCAATGAATTATCTTAATTGTCTTTAAATTATCCTTTCTTGTTGGTTTTTGAGAAGATGAAGTGTTAATATGTAGCTTAGGATGACCTGAATTCCAGTTTTTATCCAGCACTCATATGCTGAGATTTATAGTCTGTTGACAACACGCCCAGTTTTTATTAGCAGTAAAAGTTTTAGCAAATCTGGTGGGGAAAGTTCTCTGTATTTTGTCCAGCATGGCAGGCAGCAGCTTCATGTGGCTAGTAATCTAGCTCTAGGAGATGGGTTGTGCTGTTGTAGGTAAAGTGGTCTAGGTGCCTTAGATACCAGATTGAGATTGAGGTGTTGGGAGTTTAAACCTCAGAATAATAACTGGATTTGGTGTGTTGTGTGTCCGTGTCGTCCCCTCCCACCCCACCCCCTCACCACACATACTTGTTTTTGTTTTTTTGAGGCAGGGTTTCTCTGTGAAGCCCTGGCTACCCTGGATCTCATTCTGTAGGTGAGGCTGGCCTCAAGCTGGTATGCACCACCACCCATGAGGCTGGTGTGTTGAAATTACCCAGGTATTCTACCAAGATCTGAACTTGTTACTTTAAATGGCTACAGGGATGAAGGTGGCTGGAGAAGAGGACCAGCAGAAGAATCTTCAAGCTGGCGAGATTCAAGTCGCCGTGATGATAGAGACCGCGATGACCGTCGTCGTGATCTGAGAGACCTGAGAGAAAGGAGGGATTTAAGAGATGATAGAGACCGGAGAGGACCTCCCCTCAGATCAGAGCGAGAAGAAGGTAGAGAGACATTTTGGGGGTCGGAATGAACAGTTTTGTGGCAGGATTGGGGCTCTATATAATTATCTTTGAGATTTATATGAACATTGAAAATAAGAGCAAATGTAGTGTACTTGGTTATCATCTTGTGTATAAGGCAAGTGTACAATAGACTAAATGATAAGTAGCAGAAACTGGTGAGATTGGAGAGAACAGTATTAATTGTATAAGGTCCTGGTGTATGAACACAGGTGTGTAAATGCAAAGACACTCTGGGGCTGGTGAGATGGCTGAGTGAAGCTCTTGCTTGGCAACTTGATGTCAGACCTGGGGACCTACATAGTAGAAAAAGAACTCACTCCCTGAAAGCTGTTATCTGTACTCACATCCCTAACTGTAAACACCTAAACAATATTTTAAATTTTATCTATTTGTTTTTGGATTTTTTTTTTTTTTTTGAGGCAGTGTTGTGCTATGTGTAACCCTGGCTGTCCCAGAATCTATTCCAGCTTGGCCTATAATTCAGATCTGCCTGCCTCTGCCTTCCAAGTGATGGCATTAAAGGTGAGCACTGCCACCATCACTTGGCGGCAACAACAACAAATTTTAAGTATTTTTAGCTAGTTTAAGATGTCCGTTGTACTTCCGTGCTTTCCTTACCTGGTTTTTAACAGTTTGCTCGCTCATCGGGATCAGAAGAGTATTAAAACTATAACTTGAAATCTCACATTTTATGATTCATTTGCTAAAATTCAAGAGCCAAAAATTCTCTATTGGACATTTTTATTCTGATAGTTTTTATCCTGTGTTCAGTTTGTAACTGTTAAGATATTTCTATGGTCAAGGATTTCTGTTTGCAATTTTTCAATTATGTCAGCAAGTTCATATTTTAAAAGTTTTTTTGTCAGAAATGACAAAATTAAAATGTGGACAAATAATTAAAATGACAACAAATTAATTAAAAAGTGTGATTCTGCATTGTTGATTTTCTCAATAGTTTAAGGTGGGCATTTCTTTTGCTTCACTTGTTTGTTTTGAACCAATAAAACAGTTCAAACTTAGACTTTTTTTTATTTGTTTTACTTTTCTAGCAAGCTCTTGGAGACGAGCTGATGACAGGAAAGATGACCGGACTGAAGAACGGGATCTACCTCGTCGTGTTCCTCCCCCAGCTCTTTCAAGAGAGAGGGAGAGAGAACGAGAAGGTGAGAAAGAGAAAGCCTCCTGGAGAGCTGAGAAAGACAGGGAATCCCTTCGTCGTACTAAGAATGAAACTGATGAAGATGGATGGACAACAGTACGACGCTAAGGCCCAAGACGATGGAGTCAAACTTGTGTCTTACCACATAGGTTTGATCACATTCAAGGATTATACTTGTGCTTCACCCGGTCTAAATTGAATTCTTTAATGTTGTCTCACCATAACACAAAAAGCATGAACTTGTATTAATCATATATAATAGATTGATCATGCACTGTATTCACAGGAGGTTGAAAAACCATGCCATTTTCTGGAATTTAAGGTGTTGCATTATTTCATCAATCATTTGTTTAAAAAAAAAACTAAAAAATAAAAATGAACCCTTCAGGTGTTAACACCTATATCTTGGTATACAATTGATCTTTTTGTTTTGTTTTGAAATATCAAATTAATTTGGAATAAGGTAAGGTTCTGTTAAAATATTTGAAAACCCTTTAAGCCAACAGATCTGACAGCTTTCCCAGCATTAGTGGGGACATACTTTCTTGGGTATTTACTATTAACTACATTTAGGCTATAGCTTCTGATCAGTACAGTATATATTACAAACACTGGTTGCAATGGGTTTTCTGTAGACTACTTGAGAGAGGTGAGTATAAGCATTTTGTAGTCATCATGGCACTGCTCAGGTGCAGATCAGGACAGGACAGCTTTGGGTTCTTAAAGCATTTGGTAAACTTTCTTTTTTTTCTGTTGCCAAAAGAAAACTGCTTTCCCACTAATTCATGCCTTTCAAGCATTTTAAATATGACAATATTTATAAATGTGTGGTTTGGAGGAATTGTTTAAATTTTTTCCTAATTTCCTTTCTTCAGGATAGATTATTTCAACAAGTAATTTGTAGTGATGACTGTGTTGACTTCAATTTTGGAGTGTAGTAGCTGTGTTAAAGAGTAATAACTATTTGGTCTTATTGAAGCCAACACAGAACTTGCTGCTGTGTTTTTTCTTCAGTGATAAATAAAATACTTACATAATTGGTGTTAGTGTTAATTTGTTAATGGTGTTATAGTTCATGTATTCAGTTGAGGTTTTGTGAATTTATCAATGCTATTAAAATTTAACAGTGTTAGTAGCAAAGAATAACCTAACAATAACACAAAGCAAATGGTAGCAGCTAGCAAGTTTGTGAAGCGTCCTTACCATTCACAGAATCTGTTGGGAAAAGGAAAAACAAAAAAAGCAACAGAGTTGTAGGGGGTTTGTGTGACAAACTTTGAGTGGGGGTGGGCTTTATACATTATATGGTAGTGGTTTAAAAATTTGTTACAGCTGTCAGACCAGAAGAGGGAGAGCTGATGCTCTTCTTACTGAATATGTGCTTTTTGTATGGTGCTTCCAAGGATTGGAATTTCAAACATGCAAAAGACCTAGAGATCATTGGTTTTATTTGAGACAGTAACCGCCTATGTATGCATTTACTAGTGAGCCAGACACTACTGTGATGCCAGAGATAATCCCCAGCAAGTGATTATTTTAATCAACTACATGTAGTTGAATGTATATGGTGGGGGTAGCCTGCAGTTCTATCTTTGCAGCTTAGCTGGGGTTCCAGACACTGTCTGCATTCTTATTGTTCTGGGAGAGAACCCAGAGAACAGGGTAGGGGCAAAAATATCTGATGCTTCTGCTTTGTGGTCTAGCTCGTGGGATTCCACTATCACAGCACTCATTTAACAAATTAAAGGAAAGCTGATTAATCTCCAGGTGAGCCCTATGGCTTTTGGCAGTTGTAAACAATGGAACCTTGCAGCTCCTGTAGCTGTTCTTGAAGGTAGAGAGGCCCCTCAGAAGATCTTTATCATGCTTGCCCATAGAGTGCCAACCAGGAAGGGGTTTGAACCTATGTGTAGGTATAGTCAATAACCACCAGTACCACATGACATGTAATCTCAGAACTTTGTTGGGGGAGGCAGAAGGATACTGAAATTCCAGGTTAGCATTGGCTGGTAAGACGCAGTCTCAAAAACTATACTTCCATCTGTTGTATTTTCCCCAAAGACATTTTGGCTGTTATAATAGAACTACGAGACACTGGAGGGAATGTTCTTACCAAGACGCTTAAGACAACAAAATTAATCTGAAATACATTTCTGATAGTTTTGAAATACATGGTTTTGGTTTAATATATCTGACAGAAGTTCTAATCAAAGCTATTTAACTTCTGAACAGGATTTTGTAGGAAAAAATCAAGTACAAGGAAGTAAAAAGCCACTAGAATTAACAAGTTTGGACAGACAGGCTAAAGCATAGCACAGCCTGTTGTGCTCATGGAAAAGGTGTTACAGGGCTGTACCTTTTGTGGTTTAACCAGATACCAGAGTGTTCTTAGAAGCCAACCTTGTCACAGTTTTGTATTAAGCTTTGGGTCTTAAGTTTCATTTACTTCTCTGTTATGGGGATTGATCCTAGGGTTTTGTGCATTCTAGGCAAGTGCTCTACCACTGAGTGTATCTCTAGCCCTAAACTTGAGTTTCTACTGTAAACATTTTTACAGAACCTTTATAAAGTGTCACATCACATTCCAAGGATTAAAGGCTCATACCTGGCTCCAAGGGTTTGGTGGTGGTGGTGGGTCTATTTCCTTTCGAGCTCTAACACTAGAAAACCAATATTTTTTGTTTATATCGAAGACTTTGAATTAGCTGGTAAATTGACTTAGTATAGAGTAGAGAACATGTATGGGATGTTTTTTGTGTATACATGTTCTTTGTATAAGTACATGGAAGTCAGAGGTGCTCTCCTCAATCACATTCCACATTTTTATTTTGTTCACACAAGGGGTTTCTTTGAATCTGGAATTCTCCAAACCTGGAGCTAGCCTGCTTCCCCCTGTGGTTAAGACCATAGCTTAAAAAAAATCACCCCAAACTTCATAAATGTGTACATATGTGAAGGTCAGCCTCAGAGGGATAGTCTTCATGAGCCCACCTAACATGAGATAGGGTTTTAGCAAGGCTGGCCTCTGCATCACCAACACTGGGAGTATAAGCATATCACCATTCCCATATTTTTATGTGGGTGCTGGGGATAGAACTCAGCACTTTATTGGTAGTCATTTCCCCATTTGTTAGTATAACAGATAGTTAATGTGAGCACATTTTTTTGGGTCGCCTTAGTACCATCCACTGAACAGGAATGCATATCTCAACACCCCTGGTTTTGGTAAGGTGTGTGCTCTTTGAAATTCAGGAGTTCCACCAAGGCATGTGTAGTGAAGAGCTGAATGACTTGATCTTGCCTTTGAGAATGGTTGAAAAACAGACCAGTTAGGGGAAAGAATGTGAATTTATGTTAACTTGAAAAACTTTGCCCCAAAACAAATGGTTTATTTTTTAGCAAAAGAACAAGGAACTACATGCTTTGTTACTTAAGTTTAGGCCCAGGCAGAGTGGAATCTGCAATTCTGTGGGGCTGCAACGGGTATTTTCTTCCTTGCTAAGAATGTCTTTCCACCAACCCCTTCTCCTTGTATATGATATGATGCACCCTGTGGCCCCCACCCCCTTTTACCAAAAGGGTGCACAGCTATTTAGTATTTTTATATCACTCTCTGGTACACGGGAAGTCAGTTTGTTGTCAAAATTAACTGTTTCATATGAAAGTCTATTCTCAGTACTTAGCTAATCTGACTACCAGAAGTTTTATATACTCTTGCCTGGTATTTTCAGATAGTGTTAGTGTTATGTCGGAGTTTATCTTAATTCACTTCCATCTTTGCCTCTTCTGTCTGTATGGCAGTTATATGCCATAGTCCACATTCAACGTGATGGATTTACTGGAAATAAGGGGTTAGGAACTTTTGCCTCAAGATTAGGTTCTGGAAGCAGACCAGTAAGATTGGAATCATAACCAGGGAGGTCATGATACTTACATCCAACCCTAATTATTAGAGCCTTTAAATGATGTTTATTTTGGCACACCTGTATATCTGAAGGCAGACAGCCCAGAGTACAACCTTCTGAATCTCAGGTTATTGCTTCATAGTTTCCCATTTTCTATTTAGTAAGCCTGAAATGGAACAATCAAGATGAGTTAAAACACTGTTCTTGGGTTTCCTCCTTTCTGATCTTAGCATCAGACATGATAAAGAATTGGACAGGTTGGGGAATGGTGCATAGAGGAAATGCTAAGTAGGAGTTACAGGGGAGATTAATGTATTCGTATACTGTCACTGTATAAATACACAAGTCTCTTAAACAGCACCATTTCCAAATATGAACATGATATGATTAGGACTTGGCACAGTTAATTTTAAGGGTAGGAAGGGCTACTTGCTAATCCAGTAGAATATCGGATACATAAAAGGTTAAGAACGATTCTACCTGCTACAGATTGTGCCTTTAAACCTCCCAGTTAGGACAGAAACAAGCCACGATGAGGAACACCCTCTTAAATTAATACTGGAACGTGTACTGAATTGTTTTACCTGCAAATAGAGTAAGGACAAACTTAAAAAGTTAATAAATTGCATCAAACAATAAAATAGACGTTTGCCGACATTCCATAAAATGGTTAGTTTTACACACTAAAGTTCAGAGGCTATTAAAAAATACTCTAGACCTAATAAAGTGCCTCCATTCATGAAACGAAACATCCCAAATCAGAGCCAATTTCATAACGATGCGCACCTAAAATAGGCCGACGTATACAGTAAGCAACTCCAGTCGCCACTTAAAGCCGGTGGCATACTCGTTCAGTCCTCACGGTTCTGGATGCGCGCTTTAGAAACTAGAGACAAAATTCAAGATTTCAACGTCAGAGACCCGACCATTCCACTGGAGACTGCTGCGCCCCGCCGGCTTCCGCAAAACGAAGACCACTTGCAAAGTTGAGTCACGGAAAAGGAGGCGCGACCATGACTTCAGGTGTCCACAGCCCGGCCCTAGCGCAGCTTCTTGCTGGGCAGGCTGTCCCTGGTGCTGCGCAGCGGCGGGCGGGCAGCAGGCGGTGGCACTTTGGAAAGCGGGCAATATTTGATGGTGTGTGCGTTGTCGCCGCTGGCACCGCACAAGGGGCACGTGTAGCGGCGCAGAACCGGGCAGAGCACTCGGCCGTCGGGGCCCTTGAGGATGTGTGTGGTGTAGAGCGCCACCGCCTCCTTGTTGTTCCGGCAGAACACACACACCTGCAGCTCCGGTTTCAGCAGACGTGCGGCGGCCGCCCCGGAGGCCGCGTGCAGACGAGGCTCGGCAGCCCACGCAGGGCCCGGCACCTCTCGCGGCGTCACCTCGGTCGTGGGGGCGGCGGAGGCGGCGGGCGCGCAGCTCAGCAGCACCGCGGCAGCGCGCCCTGCGAACGGGTTTAGCTCGGCGAAGCGCTCCTCCAGCAGCCCGGCTTCGGCAGTGCCGGCGCACAGCTCTAGCGCGCGCAGTTCCAGCGCGCCGCCCAGGTAGCGGTCCCGGGCCCCTGGCTCATCGCCATCGTCGTCCTCCTCGTCGTCGGGCGGCTCAAGCGTGGGCCCCGCCGCCAAGGGCCCGGACCCTTCGTGCGAGGAGCAGTGGGACGAGGAGGGCGGGGTGCTGCGGTCTCCAGCCCTGGTGATGAGCGTGGCGAGCCCCAGGTAGTCGTTCCAGGAGCTGAAGGGCTGCGGGTGCACCGGGCCCGGGGTGCTCATGTAGCGGGCGCTGGGCACGAGCGCCATAGGCGCGGGGGCGCGGGCGCGGCGGGGCGAGCGTGGCGCCCAAGGGAAAGCCTCCATGGACCGGCAGCGGGCCGCGCGCCTCCCCGCCGCCGGCACAGGCCGGACGGAAGGGACGCAAGAGCCTGCCCACCGGCCTGCCTCGGGGTGGGGCAGCCTTGCCTCCTTTTATCGCTCCCGCTTCCCTCGGTGCCCCTCCTCTCTGTCTCGGCCCTGCCCCCTGCGATCCTCCGCCGGGGCCACCGCGCCCGCGCCCCCGGACGGAGGCGGAGCGGAGGCGGGTGCGCGCTCCTCTCCAGCCCCGCGCGCCTCCTGCGCCCCTCGCACTGCGCCCACCTCGCCAGCTGCGGGGCGCCTGGCATCCTGCGAGGGGGCGGGTGAGGCGCCGCCTCGGGCCCTGGCGCTCAATGGCTGTCGACCTGACTCTGCGAGCGCCGCTCGGGATGCTGATTGGTGGTAGCCAGGGAGGAGGCGGGCGGCGGGTGTGTGTGTGTTGGGGTGGGGGGTGGAGGCTTTGCAGAGAGGGCCGGGAGGGGCGGTGGCTGGGACTAGCCTTCGCCCCAGTGTGGGGACTGCCACACTTGCTTTTCTCTCTGCGGGGTAGTGAGATGCCGTGGACTCAGATCGCGATGGAGCCACTGGGATACAAGTATCCACCTGCAGCGTTGGCTGGACCGGGGGTGGGGGTGGGGGGGAGAGTTAAGGTCTGAGACCACCATTTCCCCTTGCCTTTCAACGTCATCAGCAAGAAAAGCTGTGAGAGGCAGAGCTAGGCGCCATCTCCCATCAAAGCCCAACTAGAGACCCAGTGACTTCCGCTGGCACAATGCTTCGGAGCTCTTTCCACAGGGTGAATCCTCCCACAAACTTTGAGGCTCAGGGAGGAAGCTCACGGAAGTAAATGGTAGAGAATCATAGCAGGTTCAACAGGTGTTCAGAAACTGGGGGCAGTAAGATATTTACTTAGATGGTATTGAGGACTGAGCCAGAAATTCTTTCTATGGGCCTGTTTGCTTGAAGCTCATCTTCTGGGGTCCTATATTGAAATCTAGAGTCTGTGCAACTTGAAAAACAGCGTGTCCGATGCTTTGAAACGAGTAACTTTTTTTTTTTTTTTTTTTTTTTTTTTTTTTTTTTTTTTTTGCAAAACCCTGGAGAATAAAGGACTTATTAGGAGGGAAAGAGGCAACTTAAAATGCAAACACCAACAACTTCAAAAAATAACTTGAAACTTCGAAAATGTGACGTGACCTAGGATGAGGGACAGAAAAACACCTTTGTTGGCTGGGCAGATAGATAGGAGAGCTGGTTTTGTTTTCCCCACTTTGCACCATACAGTGCCCGTGGAAGCGAGGAGATAGGATCCCTAATGCTATCAGCTTGCTTTAGGTGACAAGCCACAGTCACATGACTTGCCGTGCCTAGCACAGGATGCTCAGAACTTGGTTCTGGTTTGGGTTAATGTTAGAATGAATGTGTGAATGGTGAAACAGATCAGCCATGAGAAGAATCTTTGGGATCATCTTTTCTTTATGGGTGACAAAAATGAGACCCCCAAGAAGAGATGGAGTTCCTGAAGGTCAAACAGTGACTATGTGACAGCCACAATTAGGACTCTGGCCTCATTACTCCTGGTCAAGTGACCTCCCCAAATACCATGGCACAGAAGATATTTCAGGCTAGGTTGGTGTTATCATCAGTGGGTAGCTGGAAAGAAATAAGTTGGAATGACGGATTTGTCTTTGTTTGAGGCCCTGCCTGCAAGGAGCTATACAAATCACACTGGAGGAACAGGATCAGGCCTGAAGCAAGAAAGGGACACCTGAGCTGGGCAGTGGTGGTGCATTCCTTTAATCTTAGTCCTTGGGAGGCAGAGCAGGCAGATTTCTGTGGGTCCCAGGCCAGTCTAGGCTACAAAGCGAGTTCCAGGACAGCCAGAGCTGTTACACAGGAAGAGAAACCTTGTCTTGAAAAACAAAACAAAAATAAAACAAAAAAGAAAGAAAGAAAGTGACATCTGTTCTGACCAACTGTCCAGTTAGGCCTTGAAGATATGTATTTCATGTTCTTTCTCATACCCTAGCTGCCAGTGTTTGGGAGAGACCTAAAGCCATGCGGGAATACTTGGCACTTGGCAATGTGGTTCCTTTTTAAAGTTTGTGTTGGCACTCAGGCTCAAAGTCACCTTTATTTCCTCCCTCTCTCCCACCAAAAACAAACAGAAGAACTCGAGCGCTGTGGGTCTCTCACAGAAGCCTGGCAGGTTTGCTGACACGGAACTGGAGCTCTTACCACAAGCACGGTGGCCCCCAGAGGGGTATGAAGATTAGGGTTCTGTAAATGGAAAATTCCACTCTGTACATGTGTGTACGCTGTCTGCGTACTTTCAATGTATGCAGATTTCAAGCTCTGAAGACTCCTCTTAGCCCTATTCTGAGAGAAACACTTCAGCAAGCAAAGTTTAAACCTGGTCAGCTTCCTTCGGGTCAGGCTAGAGCCGGAAAGGCAAACAAGAGACAGGCCCTTTGTCTTCCTCCACATGTTTCTTAGTCCCTGTGGTTGAGTGAGAACAAAACGAGTTTATTGTGTTTTTGTGTGTCCAGTCTGCTCTTCACTTGTGTGTGTGTGTGTGTGTGTGTGTGTGTGTGAGAGAGAGAGAGAGAGAGAGAGAGAGAGAGAGAGAGAGAGAGCGCAGGTGACACACCGCAGTATGAGCATGAAAAGTCAGAGGACAACTTTCAGGAGTGGGGTTTCTTCACCTTTGTGTGGGTTGAACCTTGACTGTCAGGCTTGCAAGGCGAGTGCTTTGTCCTGCTGAACCATCTTGACAGCCCAAGGATAAAATGTTTACATGCCTTGGGTAGTTCCTGCAGCCTGAAGGCACAGGTGCTGGTAGAAAGAGGTCCTGGAAGGGTGTAAAATGAGCGTGTGTATCCTGGGGCACAACCACATGAGTTGCTGCTTCCCACGGCCACTCTCACTCACTCTCGAGTGTTTAGATGTTTGACTCAGAAAGAGAGTTTGAAAATAAGATCATGATAAATATTTAAAAAAAAAACTTAAAAAAAAATGGGGCTGGAGAGATGGCTTAGCGGTTAAGAGCACTGACTGCTCTTCCCGAGGACCCGAGTTCAAATCCCAGCGCCCACATGGCAGCTCACAACTGTCTGAAAATCCAGTTCCAGGGGATCTGATACCTTCACACCAATGCACAGAAAATAAAAAAGCTAAATAAACCATAAAAAAATTAAAAAAAAAAGAAAATAAGATCATGAAGGCTTTTAAATGTCCTTAGGTGCACACATGGCTTCCATACAAAGGGAGGTTTTGCTAACAGTGACTTTGGAACCTCTAGAGTGGGTGGCTGCTCCAGGTTTGGGCTAAATAAACATTTACTTTTTGTCACTGAATGTGGGCCTTAGCCTGGCCATGAATTCTCCAGTGTGCTCGCTCTCTCTCTCTCTCTCTCTCTCTCTCTCTCTCTCTCTCTGGAACTGGCAACAGACATATTCCAGTACATCCCATGAAGTTAAACTACCCGTTCACTCTCCAAGAGTCTGAATGCAGCAGACAGAAATAACCAGTTGAAATTTTTATTTTAATAAAATATTCTCATCCATTGAGGAAAGAAGGCAGGTGGACATGGACCTCGTCTCAGCTCCCTTTTGAAGTGGGCTTGACTGGCTGGACAGAGGCTGTGGTGGGCAGGGTGGGCGTGGGGGTGCTGTTTGTGCTGTGTTTCTTTCTCCACACACTCCTAGCCTGGCTGTTTCCTTTGTTGGTAGCAGAACTGAGCTGCGCACAGACTGTGGGTGGATTGAAGCATGACCTCTCCAGACTTCACCTCTGGGTAATGAGGCAGTTTGGCCAGGTACCAGAAAGCTAGAGATACAGCTTGTTGGGCAGTGGGTTCTCACCAGCCTGCTTGCCAGGCTCTGGTGAATACCTCAAAGTGCTCTTTCCTACTGTGGGCTTTGTAGGCAGGCCCAGTGAGAGGCACAGGAGGATCTGTTTGAAGGACCTTGACCTTAGCCATACCATACCTCTGGCCAACTTTTGTTTAATGCTCATGCCCTGTGAAGTCATAGAGCTGGACATGGCAGAGACACCCTGGGTGAAGTGACTTTACTAGGCTCTGGTGGGGCTTTGAATGAGGGACTTAGGGTCTCTGGGCCCCAGTCCCTTCCTGAGAGCCTTGAAGGGACTCCTCAGGGAAAATGACAGCCACCCTGCCCTGCTTTCCTAATTCTGTGTCCCACTCTCACCTTGGAACTTAGGATAGGTCTAAGGCAAGCAGAGATATCTCACTTTTATGGCTCCCCCACTGAGTGAGAAGGCTGGTGATCTAGCCGTAGCCCTTGAACTTGAGATGTAAGCAGATATCTGTAAGAGGGTTCTTAGGAAGGAGTTTTCTCCATACTTAAGACAAAACCCTTAAAACTAAGGTCCAGAGAACCTCGCAGAAGAGAGGGCAGAAAGATTATAAGAGGACCAGGATGTCTGCTGTGTCCATGAAATCTTAGCAGTGTGGTTGCTTAAATAAGACCTGAAAAAATGACAACAGCAGTTGAAATGCCAATGTGAATGGGGAAAATTTCACAAGTTCTCATCCCTAGAGGAAGAACTACAGATAAGTAATGGTTGCTGAGAGAAGAAGTCGTCTCCAAGCAAGAACCCAATAGCTTGTCTGGTCCCTAGTGTCAGTTCTAAGACACATAGAAGCAACACTTTGGAGTCAGAGACAGGTGGATCTCTGAGTTCAAGGCCAGTATGGTCTACATAATGAGACCTGATTTAAAAAGAAACAAAAAAGAACAAGGATAAAAAGGGACACAGAAGCTGGAGGGAGGACAGGAAGGGAGGAAATGATATAAATACAGCACTCACATATGAAAGTCTCAAAACAAATTTTCATATAACAAAATCCAAAAACTCGGTATGTACCAGGAAATCCCTTCCTCGACTCAGGTTATGGAGCTGGAGGTAATGAGGCTTCAGGATAAAGCTGACACCGTGGTGGGTTACTGGAAATGCTTATTTTAAAAAGCTGTGGTTACATTTTTGTTGGTGACTTGTTACATGACATAATTAAATGTCTTTGTGGTTGGGGTGCTTGGAGTCAGATCCTCTTACTTGCAGCTGGCTTTACTTCTCCACTGGAATTTTGTGGTCCCATGAAAATTTATTTGTCACTTGTCTAAAAGGATGCTTTGTTCTGGTCAGACAGAGGTGACATCTCTGTCAGAGTCCCCCCTTCTCTGCTCCCTCTCTGCCTCCCTCCCTCTCTTTCTTTTTCCCTGTTTGAGTTAAG